CCCCCCCCCCCCCCGATGGGGAGTGGGACGGCTGGCCGTCGAGCTGGTACCAGCTCAAATGTGCGGGCGATAAAACATATTGCGGGTGATGTGGCGACGGAGAGACGCCCGTCAACTGTTGCGTCTCGTCCGGTGACGCAGAGTGCGAGGCCGGTAGTGCGACGACGTGCTGCCGCGAAGGACACTCGCTTACGGGCGCCAAAAACTGCTGCGGTATTGCTTAAGTGCGTGGAGTCCGCAGATAAAACGGGACCTACGTATGCGGACGTAATGAGGCTGGCGAGGGGGAAAATCTCCCTTGAGGAGATGAACATTGAAAATACCCGTATCCGAAGGGCGCAGGCGGGAGGACTGCTCATCGAGATTCCGGGAGGCGATGAAGCAGGCGCGAAGGCAGAAGCTCTGGTGGGAAGGCTGAGAGAGGTCCTCGCTGAGAGCACTTATAAAGACGATGTAAGTGTGGTGCGACCAGTGCGCAGAGCGGAAATTAGGCTGATAGATATCGATCAGTCCGTCACCTCGGAAGAAGTAATCGCGGCCGTGGCGTCTAGGGGACAGGTCCCTACTGTAGATATCAGGACCGGTCCTTTTAGACTAGGGCGAGGAGGAATAAACACGGTATGGGTACAATATCCCCTACAATGTGCGAATAGGTTAATAAGTGAGGGACGAGTGAGAATAGGAAGGTCCTCGGCGGATGTAGTGGCGCTGGCGAAAAGGAGGCTCCAGTGCTTTCGCTGCCTGGCGGTGGGGCACACGAGGGCCAACTGTCAGAGCCTGACGGATCGCTCCACATGGTGCTTCCAGTGCGGTAGTGATGGACACAGGGCTTCGGGGTGCCGGTTACCCCCGAAGTGCCCGGTGTGCGCGTCGCGAGGACTGGGGTCTGGCCATAGAGCGGGAGCACCAGAGTGCATACCGTTCAACGGCCGTGGACAAGCACCCAATGGTGATGACACGCGATTAAACACGGAGAGAACATCTGTCGGGGCTGATCGGGGAGCACCGACACCAGTAGATGAGCAGGTTAGTATGGAAGTTGATGGCTAATCTAGCTCAAGTTAATGTAAATAGATCGCGACCATCGCAGGATATGGTTGCTAGGATAAGTGAGGAGTTGAGGCTGGGGATTGTGATGATCGCGGAACCCAACTGTATCCCGGACAATGGCCGTTGGGTGGCCTCTAATGACAATCCTCCCTCGGCCGCCATAACGTGGCAGTGGAGCCGAGAAAGGGTGCCGTGCACTCCTCGATGGAGGGGCATGAGATTCGCAGCGGTGGACTGGGGAGATATAATCGTTGTCTCGTGCTATTTCTCCCCCAGTCTCAGTGAGGTAGAATTCTCCAGAGACTTATATGAACTGGAGAATAAATTGTTGGGAGTAAGGGGCTACCCGGTGGTAATTGCGGGAGACTTTAATGCCCGCACCCCTGCATGGGATCCTGGGAGGCCCAACAGAAGAGGAGCCATCCTAACGGATTGGATAGGAGTAATGGACCTCCAGGTATTAAACGAGGGGACAGTACCTACATGCGTGCATCCGCGAGGTATCTCATGCGTGGACCTCACGCTAGCGACACCCTCGGCGGCGAGGAGAATCTCCTCCTGGAGAGTGGAGGCTGACTTGGAGTCCCTCTCCGACCATAAATATATAATTATGGAAATCGGGACTTCTCTAATCGGGCCCACTATGGGGAAAACGGCACTCAGAGCCTTCCCTAGATGGGCGGTAGGCGGAGCAGACTCGGATGTGATGGAAGCTGCGTCAATTTTTGCGGCATGGAGCGTCAACTTCGGGGATGCCACTTCTGGGGCCGAGAAGATGGACCGGGCACTCCGTGATATCTCGGATGCATCGATGTCAAGAAGGGGACTTGTGAGAAGACCATCAACTTACTGGTGGAATGAGGAGATTGCAGAGCTCCGTCGCAGCTGCAACGTGTGCAGGAGAAGGCTGACACGAGCGCGTGCGAGGAGAGGGGCACTCCCCACTAATACTCAGATATACTGGGACGAGTTACGGGAGGCTAAACGTAGGCTTAGGAAAGCGATCAGCCGTTCCAAAGCCAAGTTATGGGAGGAACTCGTGAATGATCTTGATAGGGATCCTTGGGGTATGCCCTATCGCTTAGTGTTAAGGAAATTACACGCGGGTGGCGCATCGGTGGTGGAGGTGCTTCCTCCTGAGATTGTGAGGGAGATTGTGGCGACCTTGTTTCCTGCGGATAATACCCCGCAGGTTGCTGGGACCCCGGTCGACTGGCGGGAAGACATGACGATTACTCCAGTTGAAATGCTGGAGGCTGGAACCAGAGTAAAACTGGGTAAGGCTCCAGGTCCGGAAATCACGGGCCGTGTGATTAAAAATACGATGGAAAGTCTTGCTCCGTTGTGGGCAAGATGTTTCACGGAATGTCTCAGGAGCGGGCACTTTCCACGACAGTGGAAACTCGCGAAACTGGTACTGGTCAAAAAACCGGGCATGCCGGATCTTTCCCCGTCCTCGTATAAGCCTTTGTGTCTGTTGAGTGAGGCGGAGAAATTATTCGAAAGGGTGATCGTACGAAGACTACAAACCTTCTTGGACGAAACAGAAGGGATAGCGAACGGGCAGTATGGCTTCCGACGCCACCGTTCCACGATAGACGCGATTTGGTGCCTTAGGGAACGGGTTGGGCGGAGCTTACGGGATGAGGGTGTCGCTATCGCTGTGTCCCTGGACATTGCGAATACGTTCAACTCCCTCCCGTGGCCTATAATTAGGAGAGCTCTAGAGGAGAAGGATGTTCCGGGGTATCTTCGGAGTATCCTTCATGACTACCTCTCGGACCGGGGCCTGTCCTACGTGGACCGGAGGGATAGATTGGTGCATGAACCAATGACGTGCGGGGTTCCACAGGGTTCGGTCCTAGGACCGACCCTGTGGAATATAGGATACGATTCTATCCTGAGAGCGGGCCTTCCGATAGGATGCACAATATTGTGTTACGCGGACGACACGCTTCTGATCGCTGAGGCTGCGACCTTCGACGAGGCGCGCGCTAGAGCCGAACTGGGGGCCATTTATGTAGTGAGGTTGATAGAGCGGTTGGGACTGAAAGTCTCGGTTCCAAAGACTGAGGCGGTCGCTTTTACCGCCGAAGGGATACCGGAGGGTGCGGCTATTAGGGTCGGGGGGAGGTGGTTCCGATTGGATCCACTGTGAAGTACCTGGGACTGATCCTGGACTCGCGGTGGACCTTTCGGGACTACTTTCGCTTACTTATGCCCAAGGCCTGGAACATGTCGAGGGCTCTGGCGAGAATTACCGCCAATATTGGTAGTCCTGGCGAGCGGCGTAGGAAAATGTACGCCACAGTCGTAATGTCGATGGTGTTATACGGGGCCCCAATTTGGGCGCAAACAGTGGCGAGAGATCGTGTGATGGTGGGTAGCGTGCGTAAGTTGCAGCGGCAGCTTGCCCTGAGAGTGATCAGGGGCTACCGAACTATCTCGCATGATGCGGCGGCCATCATTTCGGGGATGGTCCCGTTTGATCTAGTGGCGGACCGTATTAGACGGTCTTATCTTCGCAGACGGGATATCCTCGCCCGGGATGGCGTGGTTACCCCGCAAGTGGGGGGGATGCTGCTGGAGGTCGAGCGACGTCGCTCGATCGAGCGGTGGCAGAGGCGACTTAGCGAGTTGCCTCCGAGCGGACCGGGCGCAATCGTGCGAGGCGCCATCGGGGAGGACCTGGAGACGTGAGTTGGGAGGGTGCATGGTGCCCTCACATACCGTGTCACACAGATTTTGACGGGGCACGGGGTGTTTGAGTCCTATCTATATAGGATAGGACGACGGGACTCACCGATTTGCCTGTTCTGTAGGGCGACGAGCGATACGGCGGCGCACACCCATCTGTTCTGCCCGTCCTGGGCGGAGCAGAGGGAGGGGCTGCTGGCGGTCGTGGGGATCGATAGGACATTTCGGGCGGTGGTGAGGGCTATCATGCGCTCTCCCGAGGCATGGCATGTCTTCGCGGAGTTCTGCGAGACGGTGATGCGGAGAAAGGAGGAGGACGAGCGCGCCCGGGAGCGGGGACTTGTCCCGCGTGTGGGGGTGCTGGCCCTATCTCCGAACGAAGAGGACTCTGACTCTGGTTAGGACCGGTGTTGTCAGAGTATGTATGCGTATGTATATATGTATATATTATATTGTAAATAGTGGTAATAGTCTCTAAGTGTAGTATATCATATAAGCGTGGACCCGTGTATAGCGGTAGCGAGCCAATGTAGCTCGGTAGGTTGGCATTCCGATGAGATGCTAGAGTGCGGTTCCGGAATGCCTCTCTTGCCTATGCGGTAGTACGGAAAAGGGGGGAGTTTTTAGTCGGTAGGCGACCGTCCCGGTGCGTCCCGGGGGTACTTAGTACCCCAGGGATCACGGGGCGGCCGAATCCGGCACTCCCGACGGTACGGGCCGTCGGGGGTCTTCCCCTCCTCGATGGGTGTCCCGAAAGGGTCCCCCTCGGGAAGGGGTACAAGAAGATTTTCTCCTCCCACGTAAAACAAAAAAAAAAAGGTTAGCACAACTTAGCACAACCTAGCACAATCCCCGCAAGGGGTGGGGTCGTTTCCGG